TGGCGGGATTTCTGGTGTTGATGAATTCTTTACGGAGCTTGCGTCTGGATATTATGAGTTTATGTATTTCGGGAGTTAATGACCAGTGGTTGGGCGTGGTTTTAGTGTAGATTTTCGGAACTAACTTGTCTATACTTTTGCTTATGGCTTGTGTGATATTTTGGTAGTAATACTCGATATCCTGTTTGGAGTTAGCATACGTTATGGGGTCGGGTAAATTGTTGTCTAAATGTTGATTAAATATGGTCCAGTTAACGTTTTTGAAATTGGGGATGTTTGAGTGGTGTTGGACTTGGCTGCTAGGTGTTGACCAATTCGGGTTACTGATTTTAAATGAAAGAGGATTATGGTCTCCTCCGATGTTATCGTGCACTTTAAAATTACTTGTTAGGTGTACTATGGCTGGTGGAATTATAGCGAGATCGATTATGCTTTGTGTTCCATTGTGGTGTGTGTGGGTAGGGGAGTTATCGTTAATAACGGTTTAGTTGTGTGAGATTGGTGATGGCTCTACCAGCAGTGGTAGTGGTAAACCCTTGAAGGAGGGGGTGTGAAGCATTGAGGTCTCCGAGGATTATTACATTGTTATAGTTTGTTATAATTGTGTGTAGGAATGTGATGTCAGGGGTTGAGTTGGGAGAGATGTATAGGGCTAGGAGTGTTAAATCTGGTAGAAAAGGGGTTTTAATCTTACAGAGAATGTGTTCGTGGTAAGTGGAGGTGTTGTGGTTGATTAGAGTTAGGTCAATGTTGTGTTCGTATAATAGTGCTATACCTCTGGTATGGGTACTTCTAGGTATGGAAATTATTTTATAGTTAGGAAGGTGGAAGTTAGAGTAATTGTTCAAAAGACTTTCGTTAATAGATATAACTGAGGCGTCTATTTCATTTCATAGGTCAAATAGTTCATATTTTTTTGTAATTAAGGCCACCTTGAATGTTAACATGTAATAAGGTTAAAGAATTTGGTGACTTACCCATAAGTCTTGGGTTTATTTGCTTCAGCCATTTTCACTTGATGGAAACCCGACTTTAAATGCAGAATTGAAACCACCTGACTCCATTTAGGGCATCAAGAGTAACACAAATTCTTGGCAGTGGGTATGAGACTTTTTTGCTTATACTGTTAAGAGCCCTGAAGTCCACATA